ACTCGGAGAAAAGATTTTTCGTTTGTTCAATGTTAATTGACTACATGTACATTACATTGTATCTCATATATCTGATGTACAATCGGATATATATAAGAAATCTAATGAGAACTACAAAACAAATATAATTCAAATGATTGTATTTATGGACACTTTGTTTTTATGCGCCCGTTTACGGGACGTATTATAGTATACCGTTGTCCGTCCGTCTGTCCGTCTATAAACATAATCAAACTAAAAAGTTGCCATACAATTCGAAAACAAGTTGCCGTACTGTAAATCTATAAACACGAGCAAGTTGCCTTACCCTAGGCTTGGTTGGTTTTTATCGATATTCTTTAGAAGATAATCTTTTTGAAAGCAAATTTCGGTAAGTACATGAAGTCACACTATCCAGGGACTTTCTATACTAACTTAGTATAGAAAGTCCCTGCACTATCATAATATAAAACAATTCTGGAAAAAGAAAATGAAAAACAGTTGAATATATGGCCAGCGGGACGTCGGAAGGCGATCAATCTTTAAATATTCTGGTACCAAGTGCACAGTTTTGGGGTTTAACCCAAAATTTTCTCTTTGTTTGTAATCTCATTAAATATGTAGAAATGGTTTAAATTAAAGGAATTCCTACCTTGTTTATTTTTTTTCTCTCCGCTTCGTTGATACCCAATTTCCGGTGGCGATGTTACTAGTACACAGTGACAATGTTTTTCTGCTGTGATTTTGGTTTCCAGCACGTAATTGCACTTTATACAAGTATAATATTGATATAATAAATAGATTTGTTGGTAACATCATAGACATGATAAAAGGGTACCCACTATTTTTTTTCTATAAATGTCTTGAATTTTCTTTTCTCTACATTGTTATGCAAGAAACATGCTGTGCTAATTTGTTTTAGGTCTGCCTAATATCTTGACTTACATCTAGAAAATTGACAATGAGGGTAGGTTGAAAACAAAACTTTACGACAAAAGAGATGATTTCAGCTGCCCAATGGTGAATTTTCCATTTCTATGTAGCAACATTCCAGCAGCGCCTGCATACGGAGTATATATTTCCCAGTTGATACGATATTCCAGGGCTTGTGTTTCCTATCATGATTTCCTTGATAGATGATTGCAGCTAACAAGGAAACTATTAAACCAAGAGTTCCAAGTGGTGAAGTTAAAATCATCTCTTCGTACATTTTACGGGACGCCATCATGAGTTGGTTGACCGTTATGGAATATCTGTTTCAGAGATGACGACGGATATGTTCCAATTGTCGTAACTACAATCTCGTCCCCTTCTCCCAAATGTGACCTACCGAATTAGACATATCACCGGGTTTTTACTTACATGAGCAACACGACGGGTGACACATGTGGAGCAGGACTTGCTTACCCTTGTGGAGCACCTAAGATCACCCCAGCTTTTGGTGGGTTCGTGTAGCTGCTCAGTTTTTGGTTTTCTATGTTGTTTTGTTTACTGTTGTTTGTCTGTTTGTCTTTTTCTTGTTTAGCCATAGCGTTGTCAGTTTATTTCCTACTTATGAGTTTGAAAGACCCTTTGGTATTCTTTGCTTTTCTTTTAGGATGCTTTGTGCTTTTTAAATCATCCCTGAATAGTTCAATATTTATAGGGAGAAACAATTTAACGGTTGATTTAGTATCGGTAACACGATATACATGCATTTCATGTATGCCGATTGAATTTAGTTTGTAGAAAAAATGTAACATATAATAATAAAGAAGCTGTGATTTTTCGTCAGAGATATTATTTATATTCTAAAAAAGTTCCTTTTGCAGTTATCAAGGCAATCGGAAAATAGAAAAAAAATCATTTGAAACGTGTTACCTTGAAACTGTACGCACTTAAATATATTCTAATCTTATCAAAATAGATCTAAATAGTGTTTATTATTGATCTTCGACTCATAAATCCTACAAACTTTCATTTAAAGTGCATTTTCCATGAAAAATAAGCATTTTAGCATAAAAAGATTCACTGAAAATTTGACATTTTTTGAAAATTACCCATAAACATTGACTAAGAAACTGATCTATTATTAGGTTACTTAAAAATTTGGTATGCTATTGCACATATCAATAGCAACTGTATGATTGCTTACGTGAAATTTATCCATCGAAGACCGCTGTGTCAACTCAGTACTAGAATTTAGGAAGACAACGGTAAAACATGATAAATTGATCAAACTAAACTAAGTACACATATTAAAATCATGAATTAAGATTTCAGGTCAAAAAAGCGAAACTGAAATTTATTTGACATGATTAAATAAACGACGATAAGCAATATTTCTGTTTTTATTTGTACAGTTATAAATAAACTGTTTCAAATTTCTCTATCGTTAAAAAAATATTAGGAAAAAATGGCATTTCAGTTCTTTTAGATGGTTTTATGGCATTGCTACAATGGTTAAGAAATTCAATTCCCTTTATTTCTAACCTTGAAAGAAATATTTAGAAACACATATATAATTTCTTTTAAAAAGGTTGTACTCAATTTAGAGCATTGTTTATGCAGTATAGTATATATTATTTTCATTTCATATGAAAAAGTGTCCGCTTTTCTAGATATTTGCCAACAAAAAGACAAGGTATGGCCTTAAATTTCAACTTTATCATAAAATTTCAAAATGGCCATAATTTGGTTCTAAAATGGATCTATATCAAAAGCTTTACTACTATTTTAGTCAAATATCTTCATTAGAGCACATTCTAGGCTTCAAAGTCAGCAGATTTTGATATATTGTCAAAAAACGATGATTATGTGCCCTTTTCTGACATAAAAGCTTGAAGAAATCCTTAGCCGCAAACTAGGATCCAAAATGTTCTGTTGTCAACAGTTGTCAATGATGAGATTGTATCCCTAGACACAAACACTTTTTGGATCAAGGGTGGCGACCAAAGTAAATTATTTTAAAAACTGTTAAGAATTATTGAAAATTTGACCAAAACTGACGTTACAACACAAATAATGCATACTTGAAGTGTCATTTCTTCATAATTTTTAATGTGATGTGCCAAAAAGGAGTTATTTTGTATCAATAGTTATATACCAACTATTTCTACATGATGTTTGTAGTATTTTGGCCTGATTAAAAGTACATAAAAATCGTAGGGCCAAATTTAACCCTTCATGAAATTACTCCTTTGACGACATTTATGTATTTGTTGTGTATGTTGTGGATTCTACTCAAATAAAAGAATAAATACTATACATATTAATCAATAAACATTACATTTCTGTTGATCCCTATTCTAAATTAAATTAATATGATGCCTCGTTCACACGTACATTTAATTCGAATTGAATTCGAATCGAATGCGAATCGAATTCGCTAATCGCGTTCACACACTCTTCTTTTTTAATTCGAATTGATTCGAATTGGCTAAATCGCATTATCCAATTCGCATTAGAAATGCGTTTTTGTTAATACGAATTAAAAGTTAACGTCGTAAGGACAGTAAAGCGAATTTGACGCGCATTGCAATTCGAATTAGAAATTACGTTTGGACGTCAAACGTTTCGAATGCGAATTAAACTAATTCGAATTAGTTAATGCGAATCGAATTCGAATTACGTGTGAACGCAGCATAAAAAAAGAAAAAGGAAAGGTATGGTTGCCAATGATACAACTATCCAAAATGACGTCAATGTAAACAACTATAGATCAACGTATAGGGTGAGACATGTTTGTGTGTCCTCAACCCTTCCCTAACCGACGATCTGGATGGGGTTAGACATGTTTGTGTGTCCTTAACCCTTCCCTAACCGACGATCTGAATGGGGTTTACAGAATAGAGAATTATAGGCTAAGAGTACAGAAAAATTGGAGTAAAATAAAAAATAGAGAAAATATTAAGAATAGAGAACATTAGGCAAAAAATAAATAGATAATCATAAGGTGCTAAAATATAAAGAATACAGAATAATGGTAGGAACAAAGATTAGAGAAAAATGACACAAAAGAATACAGACCCTCCTAATCTTGAACAGTGGTGCAATAGCACAACGTTAAAATAAGAACAAACTGTAAAGGTGTCGACTCATCAGATTAGCACGAAGGACAAAACTATGTTCTATTTATATTGCATTTAACCCATAACTACATGGCTTCAGTTTTCTACATAAGAAAATGCCTGTACCAAGTCAGGAATATGACAGTTGTTATCCATTCGTTTGATGTGTTTGAGCTTTTGATTTTGCCATTTGATTAGGGACTTTCCTTTTAGAATTTTCCTCGGAGTTCAGTATTTTTGTGATTTTACTTTTTTGTATGTTCGTATCATTGAAATGCTTAGCATTCATTTATGAAATTATGTTTGAAAGGAAGATTACTTCTTCAGGTCTTAATTGCAAACTATAACTATGCTAGGACATACTATATTACATTCTCAGAACTATGGTACTAATTAAACGAAGTGTTTTATTGGTTTGTTAAATAGTTTTTGGCGACCCAATGAAGAATAATGTCCAACATTCATACACTTTGAATATGCATTAAAAGAAATGAGTTGGTATGATGAATATTGACTGAATATTGAAACACCAACATTGAATTACTTAAACGACTGGTGAAGGGTCAACATCACATCAGCAACCTCAATTGAATCAATGATGACCTGGGTGTTTATCAATAAATTAACCCGGAATCCAACTTTTATCAATGTACAACAAACTATTTTTCAAAGATGAAAGTTGATTTTATACCTGAAACAACTTCGAAAAGAATATTGAGACACACATGGAAACTTTGCTACTACGTCAGGCAAATGGTTTGTGTTTGTTTTGGTTTCACGAAAGGAAGTGTATTCTCATAGCAAAACAAAGAATGTGGATTGTTTAGTATAACCATTAATTCACACATTTAAGACAAAATTATTAATATGTCAATAGTTTGTCATTACGTGTTGCAAATTTTGATGCGAAAAAATCTGTTAACATGCAACACATATAATTCTACTGAATTTAGAATTTCAGGTGACCACGTGATGTTTCTTGGGCAATCACTAGTACAGGTAGCTTCCCTAGTTATCTTTTTGTCCACGGTGCTTCCACCTACTGAAAAAGACCCACCTGGTGTGTTTGATAGACCACTAGAAGATTGGTATGACTACATAGTAGGTATGTTACTTTTTTATAATATTTAAAAAATGATGTACTTTGTGGCATGCAACTTTACAAAACACTATATAAGTCTATAAATGTAGTAAGGCACCACTCTTATTTCGTTTGTGTGTGGAAGGGGATAGGAAGTAAGCTCTTCGGTGATAATCGAGGCCAAAAAAAGTAAGCTCTTCAGTGATGATCGAGGCAAAAAAAGATTTGCTCATTATCGATACTTTTTTTAAAAAAGTAAGCTCTTTAGTGTTATGATATCATCAAAATGGTAAGTGATGACCAACGCATAAGTTAGCTTTTTGCTGATGATCGACGAAAAAAATAAAAGATGAGTAAAATATGATATATAAAGCTATAACTCTTTTCATTAAATACAATGAAATAACAAATAGTAAAAATATAACTTCTTGATGTTTTCCAGTGGGAGCCGGGTCGGCAGGAGGAATCGTTGCTACACGTTTGTCTGAAGGATATGAAAAAGTTCTACTATTAGAGGCTGGTGGGTCAGACTTAGAGAACGACGAAACAAAGATACCATTATTATGGAGTGCTCTGTCGAATAGCAATCTAGACTGGAAATTCAAAACGATACCGCAGACACATTCTCACTTCGCAAATAAAGATAAGGTAGACTTGTTTCAGCTGTACTGGAAACATTTGTTTAGTATCATGAATTAAAACAGGAGATGTGGGATTAACGTTAATGAAGCAGCAACCTATCTTGAAAAAAACAACCAAAACTACACGTAAAGTGTGCTAACCGGTCGAAATAATAACCAAAAATACATGTCAAGTGTAGCAAACGGTAGGAATATTCAAAAGGTAAAGTTTTCAACTAGATAAAACAAACGAACGATGTCCATCTTTATGTTACTACTCATTGTTAATGATCCATCATATGGAAAACATTACGAGCAACGACAACCATTGGCATGGCTCATTAAATGTCCTTAATTTTTTTAATAGTTCATCAGAAGGTAATATGACTCTTGGACTATGGTCCCTATATTTCAAAATAGCCAATGTCGTATTTTACTTCACCACAACGCTGTAAATATGATTGTGTCTTGCTTTATTAGGTAAGCATCTGGCCTCGAGGAAAATGTTTAGGCGGAACAGGAAAAATAAATGCAATGGCTCTTATCCGCGGAAATCCCAAAGATTTTGACACATGGACGAAAGAGGGCGCTGTCGGATGGAGCTACAGCGATGTATTACCTTTCTTTAAAAAGATTGAACATATTGCTTTCAATCTATCAACGTACAATGAAGGTAATTTTACTCTGTAATTAAATTTTAAGTAGAAATATATAAACTCATCATGGATACCAGGATTGAATAATATATTATCTATATATATTATAGAATAGAATTGACCTTGACCGTGCGAGGGCTGTATAGCCAGTCAAGGTCGTGAAAAACTCCCATCATCACCTTGATTGATATTATAGCAGAAAAGCTCTAATTATAAGTGGATATCAGAATATCTTTTGCTTTCAAAGATTTTGGTGACATTACCATCTTTAATCAAACAAAAATTGCGACGATCTTGAATAGATATAATGCTTGTTGCAAAATGATAAAGATGGTATTAGTTTGAAGGTGAAAGGTAAATAAAGGTTGAGGTAAAATCCATTTCAGAATCGATAACAACTATATAAAAGTTCAGTTTAAAAATATGTGTAATCAAACAAATACGGTAATGCTAAACTAAACTCTTTTAAGATAACCCACGAACGAGTTTCCGCTAATTTCCAATGGATGTCCTTAAAGTATATATCGCTTAGATACAGATATATCAGCATGAATTCATCAATGTCAGAAATGTATGCAATAAATATAAACAACCCCAAATATATGCGATAAATTGTAGGAAAGAAGCAAAACTTGAGAGATTTAACTCAAGAACATACAGAAGAAGTTTGCCTCTCTTTTGATTGCAAGAATGAATCACAAAAAGGTGAGTAACTTAACATTATCTTCTGTCAATCAAAATACCACATCTCTGAAATAAGATATCAAATCTACGACTATTTCTAATGTTCATTTTATAGATCTACGTGGACGGAATGGACCATTGACAATTGTCGAGTCCAGAATGACAATGTTGGAATATTTTCATGAACAGGCTGCTCAAGAGCTCGGATTCAATAGAATAGACTGCAATAGTGAATCTCAACTAGGTAAATTTTCATCTCTACTTTGTGCTAACGTAATCATTTTGAATTTATTTATTCCTTTTTCTTAATACGCCATGCCCTATTTAATTGTTCACTCAAAACAACAATAAGTATATATCACAATTCATCAAAAGCTAGCTGTTGCAATATTAAATTTTGAAACCCGTATGATACTGATCTACATTCACGTACTAGTATACTGAATATTTCAGCTTAGTGTTAGGATCAAGAAGTATTGATGTAAAGGTACTGTTGAAAAATCAAAAAGTAAAATAACAAAAATACCGAACCCCAAGGGAAATTCAAAACGGAAAGTCCTTTATAAAATGGCTAAATCAAAAACTGAAACACATCAAACGAATGGAAAACAACTGTCATATTCCTGACTTGGTACAGACATTTCCTAATGTATAAAATGGTGATTTAAACCTGGTTTTATAGCTAGCCAAACCTCTCACTTGTAAGACAGTCGCATAGAATTCCAAAAATAGACTGCGCATTGACGTACTGGATTTAAGGAAATAATAGTTATTATTAATAATCACATTTACATATTCATAAAAAGGCAAGGTAAAACTTACAGGTAACACCGGTAAAGTATGGTATTCTTTATGGTGAATTTTCATTAATTGTAAAATTGTTGACAGAAAGTGTTGACGGAATGAAGGAATCCAATCGTGTTCGATCTTATCTCAAAGTGAACCTTTCCATGCTTTTTCAATGTTAAATTTACCAAAATATTTCAGCTTTATTAGTTGTTTATAAGTTATTGATAATGGATATTTTAAGTATTTTTTGTCGTATAACACACCGAGGGTATCAGGATTGATCTCCCTGCTGCTGGTCTTTCATTTCATCAATCCTGACACCCCTCGGTGTGTCATACGACAAGAAAAACCTTTTAAATATGCATTATCTATATATTAATAGGTTTCTGTAGAATTCAAGTTAATATTAAGAAAGGAGAAAGGTGTGACACAGCATCCTGCTACCTAAGACCAGCTCTAGAGAGGACAAATTTGCAAGTTCATTTAAACAGCCATGTGTCAAAGGTATTTATGGAATTACCACAAGTTACAGATATTACATATAAGTAAAAAGACAGATAACGAATAGTTCTTTAATAAGTTAGCAATATTAAATCGTTCAATTTCTATGATAGTCAGCTATTGTCATGCCCTCGCCGTCTCCAGAGGGGTTATTAAGTGTTACCTTTGTCCGTCCGTACGTTCGTCCGTCCGTTCTCTAACTTAAGTTTGCCTCAACCAAATGTTATGAAACTTATACACAATGCTTATTACCACAAAACAAGATCAAGTTCGAATTTAGGTGGCGCCACTTTTATCGTTCTCGGGAATACCCCTTTATAACGTTATATACAAGCGGGGGCATCATCTGTGTCCCATGGACACATTCTTCATTCATTTTTTATACACTGCTATTTGTAGAGAGATAGACAAATACATTTTACAGTTATAGAACTTAAACTGCCTCATTACAATCTATTATTGGCAGTACAAATGTATGGATCTGTGGCAGCTGGCACATCCAAAAGGTAAGATTCCATTCTCTTGATTTGGTTTTATTGTACTTTCATATTGAATTCTGATATTTCTCTTTCTCTTATGTGAAATTACTTTTACAAGTGCAGTTGGACTACAAAAAACAAAACGACAGGCCCTGCTCATTGTGCCAATAGTGATGTCACCATGACTTCATCAACATGTTGAAATTGACAAATTAGGCCTCAAACATATAGCTTTAGGCAAAATTAGATATGAACCAAAGCCTTAGAATACATATAGCATTAAACATTTATATGTTTATAAAAGAGGTATTGTAGCAAACTATCTTTTAGGATTCTATATTGATGTTGCTTTTGGATCATATCTATGTATTTGGATATTAATCAGAATAAAAAAAAATGCTGTTTTCCATCGAATACAAGAAGTTTGTAGCCCGAACAACAAATCTGTAAGACAAAATCAATTATACTAACATTCGACAGAGTAAAGTCTTTTTGACATCTGAAGGGTGTTATTTGATAAATACTTTTTGATTTTCGAATATTAAAAGCCTCACATTGAATTCATCATACCTTTTCCTTTCAACCTCACTATTGTTTTTAAAATTTAGATAATATAGTACATGTAGTAAGCATGGTAAACCACTATAAAGATAGTCACGAGCCCTTAAAGTCTAGTAATACTTTGTATCGAAAATAAACAAAAGTGTTGAGTTATTTCAGCCTATCTTATTGGAATGATTGCTGCTCATAAATTCGGAGCAAGGGTTTTAGTAGTAACTACTTGTATTTAAATCCTTGTTCTCGGAAACTAATATGAAACTACAATAAAACCAGATCAAAAGAATGAAGCCTGACCTTTTGGATGTGTCAGTTGCCTCAGATACATACATTTGTACTGCCAATAATAGCTTTGAATGAAGCAGTGTAAGTTCTATAACTCTAAAATGTATATTACTTTCCCTCTACAATAATACTTAATAGCTACAAAAAAAAATGAAATCGTTAAATGATTGCATATAACGACGAGGGGAATGACACACTGTTGGGATGTTGGATGCTTCTTTTTATAATTTTATTGGGATGAAAAGCGTTGACCGAAGCACAATCGGAAGCGCTTCATTCTAAAAATATGCGCACGACCAACGCTTTTCCTACCCTGAATTATAAAAAGAGGCATTCTAATAATCACAACCATGAAACTTTTCATTTGATTTTCTATGCTTTTTAAAAAATAAATTCACAGATAGAACGTGCAGTCATAGCTTTTGTATTTTATACGGAATTAAAATTTGATTGTTGTCAGCCAATGAAAATTACGAATTCTAATGAAATATACATGTAATGTACTAGTAACTATATATAGATACTATTCGATGGAAAAGTTGCTCAAGGAGTAGAATTTTCTAAAGATGACATATTGAATAAAGTATATGCAAGAAAGGAAATCATTCTGTCAGCAGGAGTTGTTGGTTCACCAAAAATACTGTTATTATCAGGAGTTGGACCTAACCACCACATGAATGACATTGGGGTAAGTACAAATACAGTACAGAAGTCAGTTGCATATTGTAGAAATACACAATTTGTTTGCTTTTTCTATTTTACTGCAATATAGAAATAAGGGATTAATTCGGAATAAATACTTACAGTTCTACTTTTTGCAATGAAAACTTGTGTCAAAATGTTTTCCAAATGTATTACACATCTTTGAAATATGCACAAATATGTACTATACCAGACATTCCAGACATTCCACGCATAGATGACCTAGTTGAAATATGCACAAAACCAGATATTCCAGGCATGGATGACCTAGTTCAGATTTGGTACAACTTATTGGATTTTTTTCTTTTGAATGCTAAAGACATTTTGTTATTGATTTGACTTTACAACAGTGATTCGAGCGCTACTGATGGGTAAGTGTAGACAAAACGCGCGTCTGTTGTAAAAATCATATAAGCCTGGTATATTTGATGAAATTTTACCGTTTTATATTCCTTATTTATTTTGCTCATATTTATCTTTATAAGTTATTATTCTTCTGATTAATTCCCTTTTAGGTTCCAGTTGTTGCAGATCTGCCTGTCGGTGAAAATGTTCAAGACCAGATGGCAATGCACTTTCAGGTTGCAATTAACATGAGCTTGGCTACAACTTCTCAGAAGATAATGGACACAGAAAACATTCTACAATATTTGTTCTTCAGAGAAGGTCTATAAATAATTTTGATAAATGAAAAAAAATAAATCAGAATCGTTTCACTAATTATTTTTGAACTACTAGTACTAGTATTTATTTTTAAGATTCGTAACGCTTTTAAACAATAGTTTTCTGTGTGATGTTGCTTGCAATGGTTTCATTTATTCCAGTTTTATTTTGTTTGTCGGTTTGCTTATTCGTCTTAAGTAAGGGATGTTCGTGAATTATTACCCTTTATTTTCTTATCTTCGCTAGCTAAGGGTTACGATCCTGTCCCACCCTCTCCACACTTGGCGGATTAAGCCAACATTCGTGATTACAATGCTGCGTCATCTAACGGTAGACAAAAACCACTCCCATTCCGACTAGATCATTCTTTACTAATGCCAGTATTTGAACTCTCTTCAGTTTGGAGGTGTAAAAATGGATGTGTCTGGTGTTAACAAATTTCGTGAAGCAGGAACCGAAATATACGTTGAAATTCCAACATTAGTGCAAGAAACATACACAGGAAATTCAATTAGCTGATTTAAAAGAACTTTAAAATTTTCATTACAGATCGTCCTACGCTTGGGGGTAAAGACATGTTACACAAACGGCACGTGACAATTGTTTATTTACATTTTCTACATTTACACGTAATCATCACAAAGGCGCTTTTTGATTGGATACAGCCAGTTACAACTGCGACCAATGAAAATTACAACCTCGTGTATCCGAAATTCTATATCTTAATCCGCAAAGGGAGGATAGGATGGGACAGGATCGTAACCCTTGGCTAGCGAAGATGTTACTTTCTTTGACTGCAACAATTCAGACATTATCAGGACCTAAATCGAGATACATAGTTTCATAAAGATAAGGAGGTGTTGTATAATTGCCAATGAGACAACTGTCCACCAAAATGACCAAGATGTAAAGATCTATAGGTCAATGTAGTCTTTCACAAAAAACAAAATCAATGTCGTGTAGACTGCTACAAAAGGCTATGGTAAAACTAAATGCTAAACAATTCTAAAGAGACATCCAAAGGCCTGATTTACAGTATGATAACATCAGGCCAAAACAATCATGGTGGACATCTACATTTTTACAGTTTACAATGTACAGTTTATAATTATACATACGAAGTAATTCTCAAATTCACGTGGATAGCTCTTTTATTTGTTCATTAAATTCCATTATTTTTCAGGTATATATGCTCAGATTGGAGTAGATGGGATGGTTTTTGTCAATTTAGATCAGAATAATGAAGAACCTCCTGATATCCAGTTGATATTTCTCGGCTTGTCTTACGACAAAGGTTTTCTAGACAGTTTTTACTACAAAGAAGAAGTAAGTTCACAACAGCTTTATGCAGTAGTATTACTAATAACTAATAAGGCTAACAAGTTCAGGAATTTTTAAATATTTCTGTTTAGCTCAATATATTTTGATAAAGTGTATAGTTAAACTGTTTAGTCATTACTTCTGATAATTTGTTGTATTGAAATACCGCACAGGTTTGTTCTTAGCATTGCAAAAGATCATGTCCTCATGTTCTGTTTATGATGATACTGAATGAAATCTACTGTGGAGAACAGTCATCTATATTATAGTGTAGTACGACAAAACTTCGTACCAGAATGTTAACGCCATTATATGTTTATCACTGCAGTCATTTAACAAACTACCACGTCCGGTCTGTGTTTTTGTTAGATGTTTTTTTTTGTCTTTGTATCGATCTGATGAGTTAAGCTATTTTCAACTGATTTTTATAGTTTGTTCTTATGTTGTGTTGAAACACCACTGTTACAGGTTAGGGTGAGGGTAGAGCACTCACAAACATGTTTAACCCTGCCACATTCTGTATGATGTGTCTGTCACAAGTTAGGAGCCTGTAATTCAATGGATGTCGATGGTTCATGTGTGTCATATTTGTTTTTCGTAAATTGTTTTGTTATAAATAAGGCCGTTAGTTTTCTTAATTGAACTGTTTCATATTTTTCATGTCGGGGCCTTTTATAGCCGACAATATGGTATGGGTTTTTCTCATTATTGAAGGCTGTACTGTTATGATTATAATAAGGACTATGATTGTTTATATCCACTTCATTTGAACTTGGTTGGATAGCTGTCTCATTGGCAATCATACCACATCTCCTTATTTTTATACAGTGTACAAAATTCTTCAACGGATCGATATTATCTACATTGCTTTTAATTTTTGCCCATTCCTCTAATGTTTGTATGTTAAACATCATTTCTATATTCAATGTCATGACAATAATAATCTATTCTAAAAAAACTTAATAATAACAAAAGATCTAAAATATTTAATAGCAAAACAATATGATAGACTTTGCGCTCAAAAGTTATGTTGAAACATAATGTTTGAATTTAAGAGAATATTTCACAAATAAGAACTTTAAATTAATTATATAAAAATAAACACGATACTTACCGCAGTTTACTTCGGTATCCATCCTGATTATTCTACCAGCCTTACCGTTAGAAGGTGTTGATTCACTCGATGTATACAAATATGCACTATGTTTAATTCAATATCAAAACGACATCTAAAAAGTAAAAAACAAAAATACCGAACCCCAAGAAAAATTCAAAACGGAAAGTCCCTTATCAAATCGCTAAATCAAAAGCCCAAACACATCAAACGAATGGAGAACAACTGCCATATTCCTGACTTGGTACTTACATTTCCTTATAAAGCAAATGGTGGATTAAACCTGGTTTTATAGCTACCTCTAGAATTCCATTATATTGACAACAACATGTGAGCAAAACAACCAGATATAATAGGTAAAAATGTCAGTAATTGGTCAATATATAGTTTTAACAAACTGCAGATGTCTAAGCATTCAATGTCAAGCAATAAATACACCCTAGCATAGAAGACAAATCTTGTAATAAATATGGATAAAACATCAAAACTGTCATTTAAGTAAATGCTACTTATAAACCAATAGTATTCAATTCTAAAACTGAATACAAGATATAAAAACATAGTAATGTAAAATTACTTTGTGTACTTTTGTTTAGTATTCGGTAAAATATTTCAGAATTTTGTATCCTCAATGCTCTGTAACTTCGTACTTTATTTGGCCTTTTTATAATTATGTTGATTCGAGCATCAATGATTATTCTTTTGTAGACGAAACGCGCATCTGGCGTACAAAATATAAACCTGGTATCTACATGATCTATGATGAGTTTATTTATAACCGGTGGATCGATACCACTACTGATAGAGGTGTTTGTCCCTATGATATCATCAGCTTAGTAGTCAGTACTTCTGTGTTGACATGAATTATTATTTACATGGTCACGATTATTAATTAACTGTTTACCAAACTTAGAATATTTTAAAAAAAAATAAGGATTTTCTACCCAAGTAATAGATAACCTTACCTGTATTTGGCAAAATAAAATCAGAATCTTCGGCCCTCAATGCGCTTTAGCGTCGTACTTTATTTGGCCGTTAACATTTTTGATTCGAGGGTCACTAACGAGTCTATTGTAAACCTTACGCCCGTCTGGCGTACAAAATGTTATGCCTGGCATCTATGGTGTTTTTATTTACAATTTAGGTAAAAGAAGAGCTTGCTAAACGAACAGATCCTAATAGTTTTGTGGTTATTATGAACTTGCTGCATGCAAAAAGTAGAGGAACAATTACATTGTCAACAACTAGTTCGTCAGACAAGCCTGTTATTGATCCAATGTATCTTTCTGATTCAGATGATGTTGAGACATTTGTCAAAGGTATATTGAGATGAGCAAAGTTAAACACAAAATTCTTTATTGTGTCTGTAAGGATATTTCATTGTAAATTAACAAGATATGTCTGCAAAATAGATATAATAGTTAAACGAACTAACTAATAAATTGCTATCCTAATTATTATCGTCATTTCTATAACTTGACTAATAATTAATTAAGGGTGTCAATGTATGTCTATTTTGTTTGAATAATATCCTAAAATGCAAAATTGCCTAACAAAATGCGACAAATACAAATTACATTTACCTCGTTTGGACTTTGGTGGATTGTTGTCTCATTGGCAATCATACCACATCTCCATATTTTATACAACAAGCAAAACTCTGAAACGATCACATTTGAAAAATGTATATAGTCAAGTGCTAGCTGTTCGTAACGTACGAAACAACTAATGTACTCATGGTGAATGAATAGATAGCAAAGGATATATAAAACCGACTACTAGTAGTTGAAGAGTAAGTCGACATCAAAATCAAGAGGCGAATACTCAAACACAACAAGTACAAAGCTACAATTGCATGGTACGGACAAAGAAGAAAAGACAATCAACATTTTATCTTACAATTCACTCTTGTTAAAACGGGGAGTCATGTCAAGTACCCAAGAAGGATACTTCGTTTACATTTATAAACTTCCGATTATCGACTGACGTTTAAATGGATATTTTCAAATATACTGCAGGAATTCGATTTTTGCAAAAACTCCAAGAAACTAAGTCATGGAAGAGCATAGGAGCCACGTTAATTAGACACGACACACCAGGTCATTGCAGTGAAGAAGAATATGATGAGGATGATTATTGGAGATGTATGGTTCGCCATTTTGCCAATCAAGCAAACCATCAAACAAGCTCCTGTAGAATGGGATCAGACGATGATACAACTGCTGTTGTAGACCCTCAACTCAGGTATAGAAAATAAGACAGTTTTTATTATTTAATTTTGTTTTGCTCAAAGGAAATACTTTGCTTGTACATATACATGAATGTGTACTTTGTTTCTTATATATATATATTTATATACATGACTGCAATATGTGTCTGTTTTCACTTTGTATGGTTCCTTTGTTCTTATAGGTCCATAACATCATCCACGTAGAAAATATCGATAGAATAGAACTTTTCTTGATTTGTAACGACTTCATATATCAAATTTCTGAGAGTCTTTGAAACAAACGTACAAATATTTCAGACAAAATTCATGTGATGGCATGTAAAAACGGTATTGCTGAAACCTTAGTAGTCATTTCTAAATTTATCAGCGGGGAATTTTAGAATAAGTCATAAATCGTGTCAGTAACGAAGCTCTGATTGCCGAGCTCAAGAAACCATCGTGGACTTACAGCCAATAGCAGTGTTATCGACCCAGTACTAGTGTATACAAACACTTACTAATAATTAATTTGGCTCCTGCCGAAGCTCTTTTCTTGATTTACCTCCATCAGTACGTTCAAACCAAAACACGAAATAGCCAAAGTTGGAAGGAGTTGTAAACTCTGTTTCTTCGTAATTCTTTAATTTATCAACAGGGTTTAAAATTGTATGTTATAGATCATGTCTGTACCGAAGCACAAACTACTAAGCTGACGATACCATCGGGGTGACGACCCACTTCTAATAAATGAAACAACATTTAAAATATTAAAAAAAAACATCCATGTAACGGATATTCATGTAACAAATGATGTTCCCACTAGTAAGATGTGGATTATTTTATGCATATGGAAATCCAACAAACATTTCTGCTACACTATTCATATAGTAAATTTTTTTCTCAATCACAGGTGTTTTTGTTTTCGTTTAACCATGAGATATTTCAGATGTTGCATCCTTCTGTCTGATTTCAGATGTTTCATATACTTTTACTTCAAAACTTTCAACCAAAACTCTTTTTTAAACCCTTACTTATAACTCATACCATATTTTAGAACTTTCAAGAAAAAATAAACTATATTTGTGAAACATCTGTGCATTCTGAATAATTCTAAAAAAATTAAAATATTTGACGGTAAATAATAATTGTGCAAAACACCAAAATTTTTGATTTTCCACATTTGACAACATAATTCCTAATTCATCAACGACTTATACCATGGTTTTAATTCATTAATGCCATTCAAAGATAATCATCTTTATTGTAGCAAGAGAGGAAGTATTGGAAAGATACCGTTGATTTCATGGACATTTTTTTCTGTTATTTGATCTCGAACTGAGCACCGTCTAGTAATCTTTTTTTCTCGATTTTGTACTTTGAAGCAGAAATCGCTCGTAATGAAGGACAGAAAAAAGGGATGAACAAAATTCAATTTCTCCTTTTGATGTATAAAAGATGTTTTGTCAAAGAGTTATCCAGATGTTTGTATATATTTACAACATGCGTATTTCAGTGTTTAGGGTCGAAGGGACAACAAGTGTCATATGCTTTTGTTGTAATCTAAATGACAAGTTGGCAATGACCACATCCATGAAATAATGGTCTTCAATAAAAAACAAAGCAATTTAACTTCAATTGGTGTTCGAACAATTACAAAATAACAAAGCATTAATGGTTATAAGAATGAGACAGACAAAATTAGAGGTCTTCAAGAAAAATCATAGCATTTCAAATTTTATTTTTTGTTCGAACAATTACAAAATAACTAAGCATTAATGGTTATGAAAATGAAACAGGCAACATTAGAGGCAACTGCATTTTAAATTTGCCAATGTTCGAATCTCATAAATCTATTAAAAAAATACATATCAAGGAAAACACAAATTGAGGGGATTGCATGAACTCAAAAGGAGCGAGACCGGATGCTTACGTGAGTATACGTTTTCTGCTATGAATGCACCCCCTCCATACGAATCCACTCTCAGTCGAAATGTTATAAGCAGAAATAGATAGTTAACAGATCGGAAGACTATATTATGTCATCTTAAGATCTAAGACCGCGAAAACATGTCAATAGTGAGTCTAGACACAGACACTGGCTTGTGTAGGCCAATCAATTCGTGGTGGTGATTGTTAAACTTATATAGTGTCAAAAATAGTCTCTAAGATGCTAGTTTACCAGCTCCGGCAAAATAGCCTCCGTAGCGCTATTTTGCCGGGTCCGGCAAAATACCGATTTGTAGAGAGTTTTGCCATTTTGCCAGTCTCATTTCAGTTTTCACACTAAATGAAATATATTTTTTTTATTGAAACCATTTATGCACAAATGATATGTATGGCTAGATGTCCATAACCTTTTAGTCCTTGCTTTGGCTTCAGGTTCTGGTTTATTCACTTTTGGTGAACTTCACTCGTTACACTACATGTACATGTGGCAGTAAATACGTTCATTTCTGTTAAACATTGACTCTCGAAAATGGAAGACGACAATTTGTTGACAAAAAAACCTTGACTTATAAGAAGCCTGAGTTAAATCAGGTTTTTGAGAACTTCAGAAGGACAAATATGTGCAACTGTGGAAACGTGCTTCAAGGACTTTATGAAAATTCAAGCACTAATCAATTGTCGAAGCAGTGAAAGTGGTGAAGTCGAATAAGAGAAAAACCGCGGGAGACCAAAGGGAATTACAAAAACTATAATAGGATAGCCCACAAAGTGGGCACGAAAGACTAAGTACATCCTTTTGATCAAATAGCGACTAAAGAGACTGACTTGATTGTTTTGGAATGGTTTGTTGGAAACGAAATTGCAAAGTCAGTGGTTGTGGCGGTCTAGTGATAGAGGAGGAACAGGTAGAAACCCGCTCTAGTTGCATGGCAATTTATTGACAGCATTTATCCTATCCAAGTTGAATGTAATACGTATAATTGTCTGCATTTTACAAAAGTGTCAAAGGCGCAAAAGAAACTAGTGTTATCTGTAGTTCATTTCTGCAGTGACAGCATTTTTCTTGTGGAAGACTAAAAAATGTAGCAAAAGCAAGGCACTGGTTTTGTAAACAGCATTTTGATGTTGTTGAATTTTATTTTTAATTTGAAAAATTATGGGATATTTTTGTTATGATTTTTAAATCGAATATATATTTTATGATGCATGCTTTGCTTGTTTATTATAAACGAAAAAAGACACATTTGCTTAGAGACTTCCTATTAAAGTGTATGTAATGTAACTTTTAATTTCAAATCTTATGGGATATTTTTAGTATGATATCAATTTTAATGTACATGTTTTGCCTATACATAAATTCATTAAACACGATATATTTATCTTATTAAAGTGTATGTTTCTATAATTCTATGTATTATTTTTCAATATACTGAAAATCTGACTTTGAAGACCGGCAAAATAGCAAAACTCTATATAAATCGCTATTTTGCTGGAACCGACGAAATAGCGCTATTGAGGCTAATTAGCCGGAGCCGGTAAAATAGCACATAAAAGGCGTATTTGCCGGAGCGGGAAAATGGCATCTAAGAGGCTATTTTGCCGGAGCCGGCAAAATGACCACTGACTTATTCATAAAGGTAAGTGACACATTTAATATTTAACATTGATAGATTTTTTCTTTATTCATATTTTATCTTGTTTATGCACAAAATCACTTACTTTGTATTTTTTAGGGTTAAAGGTATAAAGAATCTGAGAGTAGCCGATGCATCAGTAATGAGAAATAACCCTTCGGGCAACACCAATGGTCCGACAATGATGATAGCCGAAAGGGCTGCTGATTTTATCAAAAATAGCAAGTGACAACAATAGACGTCTTATACAGTTTTCTATAGTTTAGTTTGTACTGCATGTCAACTGAATTTTTTTGTCAACAGTAAACATATTTTAAATTTTTATACTGTTTATAGTTTGTCAGTGAATTATGTTATCATCACTACTCATGTTTTAAGTCTTCTATCGTGAGATGTATTCCCTACTCCAAAGAATTGCAATTCCTTGATGTAACAAATACACGACAATTTGTCCAGCATCTACTCCTAGTGGTTTAGCCATTGAACACAACTATATCGTATTTCTTGTCAAATGTTATCAGCTTATACTTCAGCTTAACTCTGACTAGACGCATTTACTAGTACTATTGCAAAAATAAAAAGACGAACAGCAATTACAGTAACAGAATTCTTCTAATTAATATCTAAATATATGCTAATCATTTGTTATTGTATGAGCTATAAATAGACTTTAGCATATGCCCTTCTTTGTGCTGCTTGTATTTTTACAAAAGTTGTCTACACAGGGACGGGTATTCCAAGTAGCTTACAAGCTGGCTCTAGTTATTGTGTTTGGATCACCTTCTTGATTCTTGTATTCCCAAAGGATCATATTCCAGATGTGTTCCACATTGATAACGTTCTGAATCCATGATTTTCAAATTGACACATTAATCTGGCTTCACCTGATCCTCATAGATCATATTTTGAATCTATGTATTCCCACTGGAACATAGTTTACACATGTATTTGAAATGAATCACAATCTTGCTCCAGTGCCTCTAGGTACTACAAGTATGCAACATTGATCTAGATTCCCTACGCCGCCGGTTACAGTCAGCCAAGACATTCCAGGTACAAAACATTGATCCAGAGACGCTGGCAAAAATCAGTCGCACGGTACTAGCGTTGTATCATCGCATCTGAAACGTCTCACAAAAGTCGCCACTGCCTCAACCGGGTAACGGCTAGTGCAAGGTAAAAAGAAAGGAGAGGCGGAAAAGAAAAAAGAAAAAATAATACACGCCACTCCGGCACGACGGAGGAGGGCGAGGATTGGATAGAGCCTGGTTTATCCACTTCGATTCATTACTATCGTGGTGTTGGTAGCGTTGGTTTGGCTTTCTTTCGTTGTCCAAACGAACGACTTGTTTTCTTTCCGACGGAGAAAAACGTCGAAACGAACGAACCCCAAGCAGACGGAACATGACACCTTGGCTTTCGGCCGATACCGATACCGGACAAACCAAAGAAAAAAAAAAGGTTGCGGGTACTTATCTACATGGTTGATCCTGCCAATAGTCATATGCTTGTCTCAAAGATTTAGCCATGCATGTCTAAGTACATACTTTTTACATGGTGAAACCGCGAATGGCTCATTAAATCAACTAGGGTTCCTTAGATTGTACAATCCTACTAGAGCTAATACAACAATCACGGCCCTGACCTCGCGGAAAGAGTGCGTTAATAAGATCAAAACCAGTCGAGTTCGCAAGGGCCCTTCGGATTGGTGAGACTGGATCACTTTGTGCTGATCGCACGGCCTCGCGCCGGCGACGTATCTTTCAAAAGTCTGCCCTATCAACTTTCGATGGTACATGATATGCCTACCATGGTTGTAACGGGTAACGGGGAATCAGGGTTCGATTCCGGAGAGGGATCATGAGAAAAGGCTACCAAATCCAAGGAAGGCAGCAGGAGCGCAAATTAACCAATCCTGGCACGTGGAGGTAGTGACGAAAATTGCAATACGGGACTCTTTCGAGGCCCCGTAATTGGAATGAGTACACTTTAAACCCTTTAACGAGGATCTATTCGAGGGCTAGTCTGGTGCCAGCAGCCGCGGTAATTCCTGCTCGAAAAGCGTATCTTAAAGTTGTTGCATTTAAAAAGCTCGTAGTTGGATCTTGGGTCGAGGCTTGAGGTCCGACGCCTGTCGGTTACTACTTATCCTGATCTACCTCCCGATTTTCGCACTAGGTGCTCTTGACTGAGTGTCTCGGGTGGCCGGAACATTTACTTTGAAAAAAACTATAGTGTTCAAAGCAGGCATTATCGCCTGAATATTGATGCATGGAATAATTAAATAGGAACTCGGTTCTATTTTGCTGGTTTTCGGAGCTCGAGGTAAAGATTAAGAGGGACTGACGGGAGCATTTGTGTTACAGTGTAAGAGGTGAAATTTTGGATCGCCGTAAGACGAACTCCTGCGAAAGCATTCGATTAAGAACGATCAGATACCGTCGTAGTTCTGACCATAAACGACGCCAACTAGCAATCCGCCGGAGTTGCTTCAATGACTCGGCAGGCAGTCCCCGGGAAACCGAAGTGTTTGCGTTCCGGGGGAAGTATGGTTGCAAAACTTAAACTTAAAGGAATTGACGGAAAGGCACCACCAGGAGTGGAGCCAGTGGCTTAATTTGACTCAAAACGGTAAAACCCACCTAACCCGGACACTGTAAGGATTGACAGATTGAGATGTGTTTCTTGGTTTGGTGGGTGGTAGTGCATGGCCGTTCTTTCTTGGTGGAGCGATTCGTCTGATTAATTCCGATAAAGATCGAGACTCTAGCCTACTAAATACAATTAGACATCATTTTAATTAAAACATCTTACATTCAATAAAATATATGTGAAATTACAATACGTTGTTAATAAGTTTCCATGGGAGAAAACCTAAAACATTATTCTTTTAAATATAGAAGACTTTTCGAAAGAAAAATTGATTATCTCCCATGGAAACTTACTAAACACGTATTGTAATTTCACACATATTTTACTGAATATAAAATGTTTTAATTCAAATGATGTCTGATTCTTATGAATATAGAAGACTTTTCGAAAGAAAAATTGAATGAAAGCTTAGTTTGGACATTTTTATGGCTTTCAAAATTACTACCCATCACCTTTAGCATGATAATAACAATAAAATTTCTATACAAACTGTTTGACTGATTTTTCATTATAACATTGAAGTGGAATTAAAGTCTTATAGGATTGTAAGTATGCTTTATTTTATCATCTTGCACTTTCATGACTTGACTGTGGTTTTCTACAGCAGTTCGTACAAATTTCTGCCCAGTTTAACAGTCTGGTTTTATAAAACAAATTGCAATTTGGTCAGAATTTTGAATAAGTTGCAATAGGTTGAGAGCAACACTTACAGTCAAGTCATAGTAAATGTTTTTACTTGCCACTGGATTAAGTTCACTCGGATAGCATTTGGAATAAGGCTCTCGATTACAAAACAGAAATCAATGCAATTTAATGGGGTAACGGTTTGAATCACGTCCAAGAACGGTTAATTTATATAATATTAAATAACTTAAATTTCAATTTCTAAAACACAAGATGACATTATGTTTGCATTTTCCCTTACGTTTTACTGTTGTGTTCTTTTCTTTAGGCATAGGTAGAGATGCTAAAAATTGCTGACCTTTTGTGTTGTAAAAGGTTTGATTTTGACTCCGAACTTAAATGCATAGATTTCTACGTCTTTTTCCGTTTTAACTGACTAATTCAGGACATAATTGGCTATTTTATGAACGTTTACATTAATACCTATTTTTACGGAAAAATCGTTTTTAAAAATATTCTAACAAACTTTAACAACGTGTCTTATAAAGTTTATCAAAATCATGTTTTGTACTTTTTTGCATGGAGTGGCTGATATGAAAATGGATGTTATAAGGATATAATTATCATTCAAAGTTTTCTCAAAACTTCCTTCAATATACTGATCTACATTTTGACATCATTTTTATGATATCAAAGGGATTAAAAGAACGAAAAATATCGGTGGAATTGCACATATTTTGATTTTAGCAGAGAACAGTATTTATAAGAAATAATGTAAAGTAACATTATCATCAGCACCATGATGAACTAACAAAGTCACTTATGCAGAATGCATTGTAAACTGATCTTGGGTTAGAAATTGGGTTAGAAATTCCAAACAGCAAATACATGTATCTTAAAGTCAAATTATCGTTGAATTTTTAGAATAGTCCAAGAATGACAAATTCAAATTTTAAAATAATGTAAAGCTACTTAATAAACTTTCAACTGTCATTATGGTTATGGTCTTGGTACCTTTAGCTTTCATTTACATCTGATTGTCATATATGTATTAAAATTTGAAATATAGGAAAGACAAAGGTAGTTAAACATCAAACAGTGTTAACATTTAAGAGTCTAAGAGCGGTAGAAGTCTGTCACAATGATTTGTTCAAGAAGATATTGACCAGTACCCAAAACAAGAAGTAGGACCCTCTTAAACAAATTATATTGGAAAATCATTCAGTTAAACAACTAAACAGATGCCATTAAAATTTCCAGTCATGACTTATTGTCTAACTATCTGAAAAATTTGAGTAGGACATATCTTTAAATATAAATAATACACAAGAAAAATATGTAAACATAGGAAACATTGTAAAAAGTAAAGCGAACAAAAACGTGTAACTAAGTGCAAATAAACTAAAAATACATGTGACATATAGGAACAAACGACAACCATTGAATTACAGGTTCTTGACTTGGAACAGGCGCATACAGAATGTAAATGGTTGCTGTCACCAAACCCTCCCCCTAACCTTGGACAGTGGTGTAACAGTACAACATAAAACAAACTATAAAAATCAGTTGAAAAGGGTTTTACTAATCAGATCGATACAAAGCAAATAAAAACCCTAACAAAAGACACGAAGTATCGGAGAGTACTCGCTGCCTTAAACAACAAAGCACCTAGGAAACACAACACAACCCTAGAAATTAGATCAGAAGGGGTTGATAAATGGCTAAGATAACTAAACCAATCAATAGTATCAAGACAAGATGGAATACAAAAAAAAAAGCCTTAAGGAATGCTATAAACAACTAACACGTACCATGACTTACAGTCATATACCAAAAGTCCAGAGACTGGTTAAACGCCAACATCTCGAGCGTATTTAAAAAAGGAGACAAACACGCACCAGCAAATTATAGACCGGTGTCACTGACATCTGTGCTGTGTTATATCTTAAAACACATCTGTAAACATTGGCTGAACCATCTAGATAAGCTCATGGTACTAACATCACTTAACAATGGATTTAGGTCAGGTTACTCAGGTGAAACACAACTATTAATCACACTGCATGACTTCATAAAATCACATGATGCTTGCAACCTAGTCGATGTCGCAATCCTGGACTTTTCGAAAGCATTTGATACCGTTCGACACCATAAAAGAGAGGCGAAATCCTAGTCGATGTCGCAATCCTGGTCTTTTCGAAAGCATTTGACACCGTTCCACACTATTAAAGAGGGGCGAAAGATACCAAAGGGACGTTCAAACTCATAAGTCGAAAATAAACTGACCAACGCCATAACTACATAAACTAGATGAATATAGTGTGAGAGGACCACTTAATAAACGACTAGAAATGTTCCTTTCGCAAAGAAAGATGAAGGTTGTCATTGATGGAAATGTATCAGAAGCTACAGTTGACTCCAGAGTTTCACAAGGAACCGTACTCGGACCCCTCCTATTTCTCTACCACATTAATGACCTGCCAGATGCAGTTAAATCAACAGTAAGGCATATTACCGATGACTGGCTGCTATACAAGCACATAAAATCACAACGCTACCACATATTGCTACATATAGATTCCACAACTGCATCAAGTGTGTTACGATATTTCTCCACTTGAGACAGTTAAATGTTAATATTTAAAGCGCGAGGCTTGCCGAAATTTTTAAGTAATTAAAATGTAACTGTAAGAGTGGAGAAGTATCTTAAAACACGAGTTATAGTGGTGGAATCTGTTTCTCTACTGATTTTTAGACGATATCTAAGCAAAGTTTATCCTTCCTTTTCAAAGGTTTGCACAAAGTTGTGTTCTTTATATGTGACATCATCAGGCATGGTCGCCTTTTTCATAACGTCACAATAGTAAATTCAGAAGAAACCAAGAATATTTGACGTCATAATTAAATTTCGACCAATCCTTTGCCGAGAACAAAGTTTTTATTAGAGATAAGAAATATTTTTCTCACACCGGTCGAGAAATGTAAAAAAAGCAGAAAATGAGAGTAAACAAGATCAAGTAAACCTAGAGATATGGACCCAATACTGAGGCATGCGCTTCAACGCAACGGAATGTTACATTCTGAACATTTGAAAGAAAAAAAAATGTACAGCTTAGATGGACACATTCTCCAACAGTTCAAACACAAACCATATCTGAGTTTACAAATATCAAATGACTTAAAATGGACAACCCACATCTCAAATGTAGCCAAGAAAGCCAATTCAACACTCGGGTTAATCAGAAGCAATCTACTGTCCTGCCCAAAAAACTGCACGAAAACAGTTATAACTCATTGGTAAGATCCACAATGGAATATGGGACCATAGTATAGGATCCATACAAAACAAATAGCATAAACCAACTAGAAAGGATCTAACATAGAGCTGCAAGATTCATCACAAAGGACTAGAGTAGAAGGATCGGTCCTCAAATAATAACCGTCTGAAAACTAGACAATCTACAGTCAAGAAGAACTAACGAGCGAGTAGTATTTCTGTACAAGGTTGTTGCGGGTTTTGTTCCAGCTATAAATCCTGACAATTTTGTTGTTAAAAATAAAAGCAAAATGATAATTAAACCTAAACGTTTTGACGACTTTGAAAGTGCCAAAACAGTAATCAATTCAGTCAAAAACAATTCAAAGGCAATTGATACATCACAATCTAAAACTGAAAAATTTAAGAACTCGTTGGCCGTAAAAACTGTAATTCATTGCAACCAACTGGAAGAAGACATAGTGTGTGCTTAGTCAGGTGAGAGTTTCAAAACAACTCTCCAACACCGTCAATAGGTGCTCTCTCTCCAGTCGACTAAAAACTCGAGTTGATATCCTCGATGCAATAAAAAGTGAAATAACAATAATACCGAACTTCAAGACAAATTCAAAACGGTAAGTCCATTATCAAGAGGCAAAATCAAAAGTTCAAAAGAATAGAACACAACTGTCATATTCCTGACTTGGTACAGGGATTTTCTGATGTAGAAAATGGTAGATGCAGATACAGAGAGCCAGCGATCTATGAAAAAAGTGGTAATCGTCAATTCAACTCCTTGTGTGTGCTGTTGTTGTTCTGTTTTTCTGTTTCTTTTTTAGTCCTGGCGTTGTCGGTTAGTTTTCGGCTTATGAGTTTGAATGTCCCTCTGGTATCCTTCGCCACTCTTTTTCAGGCGTGTTTCAAATTTCTATATTGTTAAAAAATGAAAGAAAAAAAAAGAGATAAGGTTCTTTAAATAACCGAGGTTCTGGGTGGGGTTTACAAAATAGAGAATAATGGACCAATTTAGGAAGTCAACGATGAAACATGAACTAACGACCTAGGAGTATTCGGATAGCTAATTTAATATCAAAGTCCAATTGGAAAGTACATAGATATAGGAAGATGTGGTATGAGTGCCAATGAGACAACTCTCCATCCAAGTAACAATTTATAAAAGTAAACCATTATAGGTCAAGATACGGCCGTCAACACGGAGCATTGGCTCACACCGAACAGCAAGCTATAAAGGACCCCAAAAATTACTAGTGTAAAACCATTCAAACGGGAAAACCAACGGTCTATATAAAACGAGAAACGAGAAACACGTATGAACCACATAAACAGACGACACCTACTGTACATCAGATTCTCTGACTTAGGACAGGTGCAAACATTTGCAGCGGGATTAAACGTTTTAATGGTACCAAACCTTCTCCCTTTTCTGCATGTCCTTATGATACCAATCCGTACTGTGACATCAGAACGAATTACAATTATAAATTAACTGTTTCAAATTGCTTTATCGTTAAACCACACAGAAAAACATAGAAATTTTTAGTTCTTTAAATGCTTTAATCGCATTGCTACAATAATTAAAAATTTCATTCCCTTCATATTATTTCTGAAAATCATTAATTTAGGAGTTCAAATATTAATTCTTTTGAAAGGATTTCACCCAATGTTGCGCATCTTTTACGCAGTTTAATGTATTATTTTTTATTTTATATGAAAATGTGTAGTGATTTGTAAATATCCCCCAAACAAAATATTACGATGTTTGTGTATTTGTGTAAAAATGAATAATATACAGGATGATCCCTATTCTAAATTAGTTAGATATAAAAACAAAAACCAGGGAGATGTTGTATGATTGCCAATGAGACAACTATCCAAATGACGTGGTTGTAAGCAATTTTAGGTCACCGTATGGGGTAAACATGTTTGTGTGGCTAAAGCCTTCCCTAACTGAGGTTCTGAATTGGGTTTACAGTACAGAGAAAAATGGGCCAGAAAAATGAGGAGGGGTAAATAGAAAAAAAAATAGGGGGCGTAAGAACAGAGCCAAATAGGCAAAACATAGAATAGATAATAACATGGTGCTAAAATATAAAGAATAGAGAATAATGGAGTCCTAAAATATAAAGAATAGAGCATAATGGGCAGAAAAAAGTAAAGAATAAAGAAAACTCATGCTCTATATTTAAATTGTATTCAAAATGCTAATGTTAATTACTTGGCATCCGTTTCATGTTTAAGAGGGTTATTTTGAGGAGTCGAAATTGAAATAAGCCTATATGATAGGTAAGGGTGAATGACTTTAAACACGTATGGATTTCATACCTGTATGGTATATATTATGCATAGGTCCATGCTTCACTAGAACCGTTTACATTTTGTGTTATTATTTATACGTATGTATGTGGATCACCATCTAATATTAATTTTATCAAGGTAAATAGTTTTATTCTTCATTTCTTTGAACCCCAAAGGTTGTCGACTGGGGGTATAGGAATATGGTAAATCAAGACTTGTCATGTTCGTTTGATTGTGTGAGATGTATGGATGCACAGCCACTTCCAGTTAGAATTTGGACTTTTAATTCGATGTGTTGGGAGAGTATCACTAAAATGCTTAGTATTCATTAATATAATTGAACTGAAGACTACTTCATTATGTCTGCATTTTATACTATTACTGTGGTATTACTTACAGCTAGTTTCCAACTTGTGACATGCATAATCTTACAATATGCATCAAATTTGAGTTAGTATGTTGAATATTTGTTACTGATACGCCAAGTTCAACATTGAATTACTTAAATGATTGGTGTCTGTTTAACCTCACATCAGCAACCAAAACTGAATCAATGATGAACTGAGTACCTATCACTGAATACATTAATCTAGAATTCTATTTTTATCAATTGTACAATCAATCATAATTCAAAGATGAAACTTGATTTCACACTTGAAATTTCAACCTAGAAAAGAACATGGAAACATTCGTGGATACTTTGTAACTGTTTACAAAACTTTGATTTTTTTTTCGGATTATAAGGAATTTCTACCCCAGGAATAGATAACTTTGCCTGTATTCAGCAAAACCTTTCGGAATTCTGGGTCCTCAAAGCTCTCCAACTTCGTACTTTATTTGGCATTTTTACTTTTTTTGATTAGAGCGTAACTGATGAGTCTTTTGTTGACGAAACATGCGTCTGGCGTACAAAATTTTAATCTTGAAATATACGATGAGTTTATTTACAACGTTACTCAAGCGTTTTGTGTATGTATGTGTTTCATTGAAAGAAGTGTATTCTCATAGTTACATATTCATGAAGTATATAAATAGTTATATTTAATTATTACTTCACAATTTTTCAATATATCAATTATTCATCATTTTGTGCTGTAAAGATAACTTTATGTGAAAATATATTAACATGCAACATGTTTAATTGTATTGAAATAAGAATTTTAGGTGACCACGTGATGTTTCTAGGACAATCACTAGTACAGGTAGCTTCCCTAGTTAATTTTTTGTCCACGGTGCTTCCACCTACCGGAAAAGACTCACCTGGTGTGTTTGATAGACCTCTAGAAGAGTGTTATGACTACATTGTAGGTATGTTACTTTATAATAATAGTTAAAAAAAAAAAAATGTAATTGGACAGTGGCATGCAACTTTTTAAAACACTATATAAGTATATACATGTAGTACGGCACCGACCTCTCATCTTACGTTGGTGTAAAATAAAATCAAATGAAAAATGGTATAAATATGATTGGTGTTTTGCAGTGGGAGCAGGGTCGGCAGGAGGAATCGTTGCTACACGTTTATCTGAAGGATCTGATAAAATCCTACTATTAGAGGCTGGTGGGTCAGACATAGATGACGACCTGACAAAGATACCATTATTATGGAGTGCTTTTTCGAATAGCAATCTAGACTGGAAATTCAAGACCATACCGCAGATGCATTCCCACTTTGCAAATAAAGATAAGGTAGTCTTGTTTTAGATCTACTGGAAACAATTTTAGTGTTATGAATTAAAAAAGGAGATGTGGGTTTAATGTTAATGAGACAGCAATCTAACTTTAAAATAAACAAAACTACACTATTAAGTGTGGCAAACGGTCAAAATATTAACCAAACTTACATGTAAAGTGTGGCAAATAGTCGAAATAACTAAAAATACATGTAAAGTGTTGCAAACGGTTGAAATATTCGAAAGGAAAGTTTTCAACAAGATAATATAAACCAACGATATCCATCTTTATATTACTCCTTATTGTTAATATTCTATCATATGGAAAAACATTACGAACAACGACAACCATTGACATGGCTCATGAAATGTCCTTATTTTTTTTAATAATCTATCAAAAGATAATATGACTCTTGGACTATGGTTCCCATATTTAAAAATAGCCTGTGTCGTATTTTACACCACCACAACGATGTAAATATGATTTTGTATTGCTTTATTAGGTAAGCAACTGGCCTCGAGGAAAATGTTTAGGCGGAACTGGAAAAATAAATGCAATGGCTCTTATCCGCGGAAATCCCAAAGATTTTGCCAAATGGACGATAGAGGGCGCTGTCGGATGGAGCTACAGTGATGTATTACCATTCTTTAAAAAGATAGAAAATATTGATTTCAACCTATCAACGTACAATGAAGGTAATTTTACTCTGCAATTAAACTTTTAAGTAGAAATATATAAACTCGTCATGGATACAGGATTAAAACTTTGTACGCCAGACGCGCGTTTCGTCTACAAAAGACTCATCAGTGACGCTCGAAATAAAAAATATAATATATATGATCTATATAAATTATAGAATAAAATTTACCTTGATTGCAATTATAGCAGAATATATCTAATTCCAAGTTGATTTCAGAATATCCATTGTTTTCAAAGATTCAACAGCTTAAATCAAACAAAAACTGCGACAATCTTGAATAAATACTATGCTAGTTACAAAATGATTAAGATGGTATAAGTTTGAAGGTAAAAGGTAAAGGTAAAGGTAAAATTCATTTAGGAATCGATATCAGCTATATACAAGTTCAGTTTAAAAATATGTGTACTAAAAGATATAAAATAAAACAAATACGGTAATGCTAAAATACACTCTTTTAATTATAAAACATGAACGCCTTTTCGCTGATTTCCAATGGATGCCCTTAAAGTATATATCGCTTAGATAAAGATACATCAGCATGAAATCATCAATGTCAGAAATGTATGCAATAAATATGAATAACCCCAAATATATGCGATAAATTGTAGGAAATAAGCAAAATTTGATAGATTTAACTCAAGAACAAACAGAAGCAGAAGAAGTTTGCATCTCTTTTGATTGCAAGAATGAACCAGAAAAAGGTGAGCAACTTAACATTATTTTCAGTCAATCACAATGCCACATCTCTAAAATAGATATCAAATCTACAACTATTTCTAACTTTTCATTTTATAGATCTACGTGGTCGGAACGGACCACTGACAATTGTCGAGTCCAGAATGACAATGCTGGAATATTTTCATGAACAGGCTGCTCAAGAGTTAGGATTCAATAGAATAGACTGCAATAGTGAAACTCAACTGGGTAATTTTTCATCTCTACGTTATGCTAACGTAATCATTTTGAATTAATTTATTCCTTTATCTTGTTTCTTAATACGCCATGCCCTAATAGAATTTTTTTCTCCAAACAACAATAACTTTATATCACAATTCATTAAAAGCTAGCTGTTGCAATATTAAATTTTGAAGCCGGTTTGATACTGATCTACATTTACGTACTAGTATACTGAATATTTCAGCTTAGTGTTAGGATCAAGAAGTATTGATGTATAGGTACTGCTGAACAATCAAAAAGTAAAATAACAAAAATACAGAACTCCAAGGGAAATTCAAAACGGAAGTCCTTTATAAAATGGCAAAATAAAAAGCTCAAACACATCAAACGAATGGAAAACAACTGTCATATTCCGATCCTGACTTGGTACAGGCATTTCCGAATGTAGAAAATGGTGATTTAAACCTGATTTTATAGCTAGCTAAACCTCTGACTGTCGCATAGAGTTCCAAAAAATAGACTGCGCATTGACGTACTGGATTTAAGAAAATAAAAGTTATTATAAATAATCACATTACATCTTTATAAAAAAACCAAGGTAAAACTTACAGGTAACAACGGTAAAGTATGGCATTCGTTATGGTGAATTTTCATTAATTGTAAAATTGTTGACGGAAAGTGTTGATGGAATGAAAGAATCCAATCTTGTTCGATCTTATTTCAAAGTGAAATTTACCTACATATTTCAGCTTTATTAGTTGTTTATAAGTTATTGATATTGTATATTTTAAGTTTTTTTTGTCGTATAACACACCGAGGGTTGTCAAGATGGATCTCCCTGCGGCTGGTTTTTCATTTGATCAATCCTGACACCCCTCGGTGTGTTATACGACAAGAAAAACCTTTTAAATATGCATTATCTATAACTTAATAGGTTTCTGTAGAATTCAAGTTAATATTAAGAAAGGAGAAAGATGTGACACAGCATCCTGCTACCTAAGACCAGCTCTAGAGAGGACAAATTTGCAAGTTCATTTAAACAGCCATGTGTCAAAGGTATTTATGAAATTACCACAAGTTACATATAAGTAAAAAGACAGATAATGAATAGTTCTTTAATGAGTAAGCAATATTAAATCGTTCAATTTTTATGATAGTCAGCTATTTTCATGCCCTCGCCGTCTCCAGAGGGGTCATTAAGTGTTACCCTTGTCCGTCCGACCGTACGTCCGTTCGTCCGTCCGTCCGTCCGTCCGTCCGTACATACGTCCCAAAATTGGTTTCTGTTCTCTTACTTAAGGTCACCTTAACGAAATGTTATTAAACCTATACAAAATGCTTATTACCACAAAACAAGATCAAGTTCGAATTTGGGTGGCGTCACTTTTACCGTTCTCGGGTTATATCCCTTTATAGGCCTTTATAAAGTTAAATACAAGCGGGGGCATCATCTGTGTCCCATGGACACATTCTCCAGTTATTTCATATACATTTTACAGTTATAGAACTTAAAATGCCTCATTCAATTCTACTATTGGCAGTACAAGAGGGACGAAAGATACCAGAGGGACAGTAAAACTCATAGATCGAAAACAAACTGACAACGCCATGGCCAAAAATAAAAAGACAAACAGACAAATAATAGTACAGATGACACAACATAGAAAACTAAAGACTAAGCAACACGAACCCCACCAAAAACTGGAGGTGATCTCAGGTGCGCCGGAAGGGTAAGCAGATCCTGCTCCACATGTGGCACCCAAATGTATGTATCTGAGGCAGCTGGCAAATCCCAAAGGTCAGGTTCCATTCTTTTGATTTTGTTTTACTGTAGTTTCATATTGAATTCTCAAATTTTTCTTTCTCTTATGTGAAATTACTTTTACAAGTGCAGTTGGACACAAAAAAAATAAACGAACCGCCTGCTCATTGTGCCAATAGTGATGTCACCATGACCTTATCAACATGTTGAAATAGACAAATTAGGCCTTAAGTATAGTTTTAGGCAAAATTAGATATGAATCAAAGTCTTAGAAAACTTATAGTATTAAACATTTATATGATTATAAAGGACGTATTGTAGCAAACTATATTTAGGGTTTCTATATCTATGTTGCTTTTGGATCATACCTATGTATTTAGATATTAATCACAATATAAAAAAATGCTGTTTTTCATCGAATACAAGAAGTTTGTAGCCGAACAGCAAATCTGTAAGACAAAATTATTTGTACTAACATTCGACAGAGTAAAGTCTTTTCGACATCTGAAGGGTGTTATTTGATAAATACTTTTTGATTTTCGAATATTAAAGGCCAAATATTGAATTCATCATACCTTTTCCTTTCAACCGCAATATTGTTTTTAAAATTTAGATAATATAGTAAGCATGGTAGTTGTGTAATGGTAAATAATTATTCAGATAGTCACGACCCTTAAAGTCTGGTTCTACTTTGAATAGAAAATAAACACAAATATTGCGTTTTTTTCAGTCTATCTTATTGTAATGATTGCTGATCATAAATTCGGAGCAAGGGTTTTAGTAGTAACATGTACTACTTGTATTTAAATCCTTGTTATCTGAAACTAATATGAAACTACAATAAAGCAAAATCAAAACAACGAAACCTGCCCTTTTGGATGTGCCAGTTGCCTCAGAAGCATACATTTGTACTGACAATAGTAGATTTGAATGAGGCAATTTAAGTTCTATAACTGTGAAATGTTTATGTCTTTTCCTCTACAATAATAACTTAATAACTACAAACAAATGGGTGCATATAACGACGAGGGGAATGACACACTGTTGAGATGTAGGATCTGGGCAAAAGCGGAATTTTGGAAATGAGCAACCCCGCGTCATACCCTAAACGACATTTAAACCCCGCAATAATGTCAAAGACAATATTTAGCTATATGTATCTAAAGAGAATCAAATGATTTTTTCTTCGATATGATAATAACCTGATGATATATATTTAAGAATTGAATGCTTCTTTTTATAATTTTATAGGGTGAAAAGCGTTGACCAAAGCATAATCGGAAGCGCTTCATTCTAAAAATGTGCGCACAATCAACGCTTTTACAACCCTAAATTATAAAAAGAAGCATTCTAATAATTATATTTTTTATGCTACAATCATGAAAATAAGAGTTAAATCAAGCTTTTCGTTTGATTTTCTGTGCATATCTTAAATAGTGTCCACGGATAGAACGTGCAGTCATAGCTGTTGTATTTATACGGAAATGAAATTTGATATTGGAGTGCCTCATGATTGTTGTCAGCCAATGAACATCACGGATTCTAATGAAATATACGAAATGTTTAAACCCGTTTATATGCACCTGTCCTAAGTCAGGAGCCTGTTGTTCAGGGGTTGTCGTTTGTTGCTGTGGTTCATAAGTGTTTCTCGTGTCCGTGGTTTGAATTGTTTTACACTAGTCATTTTGGGGCCCTTTATAGCTTGCTGTTAAGTGTGAGTCAAGACTCCGTGTTGAAGGCCGTACTTTGACCTATGATTGTTAAATTTGTATACATTGTGACTTGGATGGAGATCTAGAGTTGTCCCATTGGCACTCATATCACATCTTCTTACCCATATGTAATGTAACTATATATAGATACTTTTCGAGGGAAAAGTTGCACAAGGAGTGGAATTTTCTAAAGATGGCATTTTGAACAAAGTATATGCAAGAAAGGAAATCATTCTGTCAGCAGGAGTTGTTGGTTCACCAAAAATACTTTTATTATCAGGAATAGGACCTAAACAGCACCTGAATGACATTGGGGTAAGTACAAATACAGTACAGAAGTCAGTTGCATATTGTAGAAATACACAATTTGTTTGCTTTGTCTATTTTACTGCAATATAGAAATGAGGGATTAATTCGGAATAAATACTTACAGTTCTACTTTTTGCAAGGGAAACTTGTGTCAAAACATTTTCGAAATGTATTACACATCTTTGAAATATGCACAAATATGCACAATAACAGACATTCCAGACATTCCACGTATGGATGACCTAGTTGAAATATACACGCTACCAGACATTCTAGGCATGGATGACCTAGTTGAAATATGCACAATACTAGACATTCCAGTCATGGATGACCTAGTTGAAATATGCACAATACCAGATATTCCAGGCATGAATGACCTGGTCCAGATTTGATACAACTAATGGGATTTTTTCTTTTGAATGCTCAAAACACTTTGTTATTAATTTGACGTTAAAAAGGTGATTCGAGCGCTACTGATGGGTCAGTGTAGACAAAACGTGCGTCTGTTGTAAAAATTGTATAAGCCTGGTATATTTGAGGACATTTCACCGTTTTATACACTTTTACTTGTTTTGCTAATATTTATCTTTACTTCTGATTAATTCCATTTTAGATTCCAGTTGTTGTAGATCTGCCTGTCGGTGAAAATGTCCAAGATCAGATGGCAATGCACTTTCAGGTTGCAATAAACATGAGCTTGGCTACAACTTCTCAGAAGATGATGAACACAGAAAACATTCTGCAATACTTGTTCTTCAGAGAAGGTCAATTAATATTTTTGATAAATGAAAAAAAAAAAAAAAAAATCAGAATCGTTATTCTAAATATTTTTTAACTATTTATATTTACGATTCGTAATCCTTTTATACAATAGAGTTCTGTGTTATTTTGCTTGCTTGCTTGCAACGGTTTTATATATCCCAGTTTTATATGGTTTGTATGTTTGTTCGTTCGTCTTAAGTAAGGAACGCCCTTGAAGGATTACCCTTTACTTTCTTTGTCTGCAACAATTCAGACATTATCAGGACCTGAATCGGGAAACATAGTGTTTCATTAAGATAGGGAGGTGTGGTATGATTGCCAATGAGACAACTATCCACATAAGACCAAAATGCCAAAGATGTAAAGATCTACAGGTAAATGTTCAGTCTTCCACAAGAAACAAAATCAATGCCGTATAGACTGCTACAAAAAGCCATGGTAAAACAAAATGCTAAACAATTCTAAAGAGACATCTAACGGCATGATTTACAATATCATAACTTTAGGCCAAAAAGAATCATGGTGATCATCTGCATTTTAGTAATATACAGAGTATATTTATATATACGAGGTAATTATCAAATTCACGTAGAAAATTCTTTTATTTGTTCATTAAATTCCAATATTTTTCAGGTATATATGCTCAGATTGGAGTAGATGGGATGGTTTTTGTCAATTTAGATCAGAATAATGACGAACCTCCTGATATACAGTTGATATTTCTCGGCTTGTCTTACGAAAAAGGTTTTCTTGACAGTTTTTACTACAAAGAAGAAGTAAGTTCACACCAGCTTTATGCAGTAATATTACTAATAATTAATAAGGCTAACAAGTTTAGGAATTTTTAAATATTTCTTTTTAGCTCAATATATTTTGATAAAGTGTATAATTAAACTGTTGTTATTCAGTCATTGCTTCTGATAATTTGTTGTATTTAATTACCGTACAGGTTTGTTCTTAGCATTGCAAAAGATCATGTCTTCATGTTTTTTTTTATGATGATACTGAATGAAATCTACTGCGGAGAACAGTCATCTATATTATAGTGTAGTTCCACAGAACTTCGTACCAGAATGTTAACGCCATTATATGTTTATCACTGCAGTCATTTAACAAACCACCACGTCCGGTCTGTGTTTTTGTTAGATGTTTTTTTGTCTTTGTATCGATCTGATGAGTTAAGCTATTTTCAACTGATTTTTATAGTTTGTTCTTATGTTGTGCTGGAACGCCACTATTACAGGTTAGGGTGAGGGTCGAGCACTCACAAACATGTTTAACCCTGCCACATTCTGTATGATGTGTCTGTCACAAGTTAGGGGCCTGTAGTTCAGTGGATGTCGCTGGTTCATGTCTGTCATATTTGTTTTTCGTAAGTTGTTTTGTTATAAATTAGATCGTTAGTTTTCTTAATCGAATTGTTTCATATTTTTCATGTCGGGGCCATTAATAGCCGACTATATGGTATGGGTTTTTCTCATTGTTGAAGGCCGTACGGTTGCCTATAATTG